TAACGACAAATTCGTTGTCTCCAATTTATTTAATTTTCTTTTTATTTCAAATATTATCTAGATGCTAGCTTCTCTTCTAGTCATAAAATTTCAAAAATTAAAAATTGTGACAAAATATCTAATAGAGTAAAATTGCATATCTTCAGTATTTATTATTAGAGGCATTTAGCCTTAGCTAACATTTTCCAAAATTGCCTTTTGTTAGCGAACATTATCTTAAATTACCTTTTCTAGCTAACATTATTTAAAATCTTTTTTTTAGCTAACATTATGCAGAATTACTTTTTTTTATTTAACATTATCCAAAATTACCTTTTTTTAACCAACATTATAATAATTTCATTTGGTATTAAAAAAATGAAATTTTGAGGGGGGTCTTAAAATTTTTCAGGAAACTTGAGCCCCTGCGCCCCCCCCCTCCTTGTGAGGCTACTGAAAATTATAGACTATGATGATGTTAGATAAGTGAATATACAGATTTAAAACCAAAGGAAATGCTATTAATAAATTATTTGACAAGGTAGCAAATAAAGATTTACAATAATCACAAATTATGATTCCCTTTAAGTGACTTGATGTCATATTCATTTTAGTGTAGGATATGGATGTTCCAAATTTTTGAAGAGAAAAGAGGAGAATTTTGGAATCTCCTACGCTAGCCAAAAAACCTCTGTGGTAACTAGCATAACTAGTGAATGGGTTTTCTCTATCGTTTGGTTTACGTTGAATTCAAGGAAATCATTCTATGTCCGGCAATTTAAATCAAATTAGTTTCATAATAACTATAAAATTACAAAATTGAGTTTGTTTATAATTAATTTTTTTTTAAAGGAAGATCTAAATATTCAGATATTTCTGTATTGTATATTTTATTTTTAGATTTTCTTGAAAAAAAATTTTAATTAGCAATTTATTTATTTTTTAAACTTAAAATTTTTTTATTTCATATATATCTAACTATTTATAAAAATAAAAATTACTAAATGAAAATAAATATATATATTTAAAATGAATATATTATAAAATATTTATGTAAGTTGCCGATTTACGGCGCCTATACTGATGAAGGCTAAAGAGCGGCCCACCGCCGCCTTTTATTTGATTTTTAAAACTCGCCTCTGCAGCGAAGATGCCGTCGGCGCACAGGTCTAGTCACATGTAATACAAAATTTTGATAATTATTCTATAAAGTTTATATTAATTAGCATTAAATTACATTTCAACATGATAAAAAAAAATCTTGTTATTAACGTTTTCGAATAAAATATTTATGTTTCTTAAATTAAACCTGTAAGAATTTCCTGAATAAAATACTTTTATGTTTATATTTAGGCAACGTTACTCACGCCGAGGCCAGAACCTCCTAAAAAATTTAAAGAGCCCCGTCAAAATTTTGAAATTTTTTTTATTTACCAAATGTAATTTTAAATGTTAGGTTAGAAAAAAAAAGTAATTTTGAAAATAATTTTAAAAATTCTTTGAGCTCCTTGAGATTTTAAAGGCTAGTTGTGCCACTGTATTCAGGTAATAGGGCTCACGCTCAGATAAAAAAAAAATTTCTTAGTTAAGCAGAACTAAAACTTGCTTATAAAAGAAACCAAATTGCCAAATATGAAATGATTTATTTATGGTAATAAAATATTATATGTTTACAATAAGAAAATATATATCCATATATACTTTTATAAAATCGTTTATCTATTTAATCTATTACAATAAATTGTAGCTTAAAACCAAATACAATTTATATTAATACATTACAGTTCTTCCCACTACAAATTAAATTTATCATGAAAACGTGATGGGGGTTTCGAAACTCTTTTTTTAAGAGTTATATTTCCATTGTGTTCTGCATTGTCCAAATCCTCAGTCATTGTTATAGGCATTTCCTTAGCTTGTAGATGAGCATCCCTCAGTTAGTCAGCATACTTTCCTGCTGAGAGCATTCGATTGTAGATGAACAATAATGGTCAACTGTTGAGTCGTTTAAATATCATTAAAAATGAAAGATAATCTTGGAAATTTAATATCTCACTAATATTCTCGATTACTTATACCATCATATATATGATTTGGATTAGTCATTTATATTCTCTTCTTCAAGAATGATTAATTTGGTTAGGCCTACAAATTTTTCTTTATTAGTCTATTCTATAAATCATTGTCTATTATGGTTATACAACGTTATATTAGCTTTATGCTAAGAATTATATTGCTTTGCGTGGTTTTTATAAACCATTATCAATTCAGGCAGTTTATGAATTAAACCTTTTTTATCACTTGTAATTTGAGTCGTAAAATTTTTTTATATCCGAAATCGAAGATATATAATATTTTAATAAATGGATAAATATTTTGTATTAAAAAAATATCATCTTTAGAAATGTCTTGTATTGTTGCTTTCATTATTTTTATGCATAATAAATGACAATTTTTTTTTAATTTTTAGCTTTCACCTTTTCTGGTGGTGAGCCTTTACAATATCTCTCTCCACTTTATGTTATTCATGCTATCTCTTTTATCTAATTTATATTTCTTCATATTGGCTCTAATTGACCCCATTGAAGTTTTGGGCTTCCTCTTTTCCATTTGCCCATCACTTCCAAACTCTTGACCTTATTTCCTATATAGTTTATATGCCTTCTCATTGTGTGCCCATACCACATAAGTCTGTTCATTATTATCTTAGTCTTAATAATCAATACCTTTAAACTTCCTAGTATATTTGTACTTCGCATCTTATCCTTTCTTGTTCTTTCAGCAATCATCCTCAGCATTCTCATTTCCATAGTTTGTAGACATCTCTAGTCTGATTCTTTAGTTGGCCATGTTTCCAAACTATATAGAATAGTTGGTTGTACTATGAAACTGTAAATTTTTCCCTATGGGATTCTTTTGTTAAAGAGCACTCCATATATAGATCTCCACTTTAACCACCCTTGATTAATTCTATTCTTTATCTCTTTCTCTATTGTGCTGTTTATTTGTATAGTGGACCCCAAATATTTGCAGCTTTCAATTGCCGATATCTGCCATTCATTTATATCAATGCTCTCTATTCATAGGCGTAGCCATGAGAGGGGGGGGGGTCAAGGGGAAATTTCCCCCCACCCTTTAGAAATTTATCACTTTTTGTGAATATCATTTCAAGCTAATAAAAAATATACCCCTTAGTCTTCCCCCCACTCCCTGACCCCCAAAAATGTATGCATATATCTCAAACAATAATTTGAAAGAAAGAATGCAAAAGTTGATATTTTTTTTATAAAACTATTCATCATAATTTATACATTTTTGGAAAAAAGCATTTATATATAAAAAAAAGTGAACCAAAAATGTTTTTTAAGAAATGGAATATAAGCCAAAGATAAGTCTTAAGACAAAAGTGAAATGTATTATAATGATTAATAAAAGATCCATAAAATTACTAAATAATATAATATATCAAATATATTTTTTTATAAAGTGAGTAATTGTAATTTATTTATTTTAATAAAAGTAAAATATAATTATAAAACTATTGATAAAATTAAATCAAATAAAAAAATTAAAAAATTAAATAAAAAAAATTAAATCACAATAACAATGGAATATTATATGTACAGTAGATCTAATTTTATCAATTATAACATCACAATCAAATAAATTTTTACCAATATAGCGAATTATATATTTTACAGGAAACTATAAAATATTGATAAGGACATCAGTGAATATCTTTTAAAGACATTGTGGGATGAATAATATAAAGATTCTTTATAATATTATTATTTAAAATAAATAGATGGCGTTAAATAGAATGCAAATTATTGCTATATTTATTATCAAGAGTATTGATTAGTAAATTTTGTTAAAATTGTAGTATATTCTCTAACTGTCAAATATGTCTGTAAAGGTGGAATTTTACCTAGTATTTTGTAACCAATTCCATATAATAGAGGAATATCAACTATATTTTTTACTTACTTTTTATAAAGAAATTTCTTATACTTGTTTCGAATAAATTATTACCATGTTTTTATATTAATGTATATACAAGTAATTTATTATATTTTATATCTAATAAAAATATATCTCATATTTGTTCCAGGCTTATTTTTTTTATTTAAAAAACCTCCTATAATGTAAAAATATTTTATGACTATATATAGACTAAGGTAACCGGCCGAAGGCCCGCCCAAAAAGAGGTCTGTGGGCGAAGCCCCAAAAAAATTTTTATTTCCCCCCTCCCCTTAGGAAAATTTTGGCTACGTCTATGTCTCTATTTCATCTCCTCCGAGCATCATATACTTCGTCTTTTCTCTGTTTACCTTTAGTCCGTGCTTTTCTAGGATACTTATCCAACATACTAATTTTTCTTTCATTTCATCCTTATATTCGGCAAGTAACACAATATCATCTACAAATATTATATTCCAAGGGACTTTTTGCGGTATAGATTGTATAATACATCTATTATTTTTATGAAGAGAAGTGGGCTGAGCCAACCCTTGATGAACTCCCTCGGCTATTGTGTATGAAAAGAATAATTGATCAAAGTCTGCAAATTTCAATTAAAAAGGTATAATATTTTAGAGTAGTCCAAAGACCAGCAAAAATAGAGGGTATTTGGGGCGTAGACCTCCGTAAAATTTTTTTTAGTTGGGCCCCTGAGATTGTAATGATAATGACGCCCCTATATAACCCGGGCTGGGTAAAGAAGGGCTAGGGGTCCACCAAAAAGGGGTGGAGAGGATTATATCTAAATAGAGTTAAAAAAAATTGTAGATACTTTTTTAAAATAGATTAACACCTTTTTATACCCTCTTTTAAAAAGCTAGTCAGGGCTTCATCATATGATTTTCAATTATTTTCCAATTCATTAATTGATATAATTTCTTATAATTTTTTTAAATCGGCTCAGCCCTTAATTTTAATGTGTATATAATAAAATGTCAAAATGAATATTGATTTTTAAACAAAAATTTAAAATAGATATCTATACATATCTTATTATTTAGTCAAGGAAAGAAAAAGAGACAAAATTCTACTGAAAATACGTATCATACAGAATTTCTTATTAGAAAGATAGAAAATATATGACACAAAAGGATCTCATATCTTAGATATAAGTATTTTTCTAGCCAAATTGCCTTTCTTTATTACAAATATGCCAAATTAAATGACTGGCGACAGTTTATCTTGTGATTTTATCAAAAATGCAGTAGAATCTTGTTAAACGTATGTAATATATGGATGAAAATTTCACTGAAAATGAGAATCTGCTAGCCACAGAAAGACTTGGAAATAAAGTTTCAAAGTTAAAATCAGTAAAGATTTATATAAAATGCAAATAATATTTTTATCATTAAAGATAGCGGTTGATATTGAGGCTGAAACCAAAGATCATGTTAATCTTTTAAGTGGGATGGTATATGAATTTCTTTATTTAACTTTTTTTTAAATTATAATAGACTTTTGATTTTGAAAACACAAGAGGTTTTATGCAAAATACATCCAGTTACATTAAAAGAATAATAAATCAAAGAAAAGGTTCTCCTAAAACGATATGTTATATAGTTTTATTATTGAGTGCATCATTTTTTATTCTACATATCATTTTTTCATTCAAAAAATAAATTTTTATAAAATATTATATTATAGATATAATAATATATATGAAATCTAATGTGCCATATCATTTTTTATAATTGTATACTTAATTATTATTATCTTATAAACTTTGAGAATAAAGCAAGTCATAAATATTAAGAATATATTATATTTATGAAGCTACTTCTCTAAATTATATTAGAATGCCATGCCAGACTAGAAAGATCCAGAAATATGAAAATGGAGATAAAATTTATTATATTGAAATACTTTATATGGTAAATAATAAACAATTTAAAAAGTTTTATTAATATCATTAAAAATCATATGAGGTATATTGATACATTAAAAAGGTAGTATTTAAAGGGCGTGATTAAGATAAGAATCCCAGTGAACTAAAAATCACATATTAAAGAAGCATATATTATATAAAATAATATATTCCTGTTTAACTTTTCAATATAATTTATATTATAAGAAATTTACTTCTTAAAAACTGGTAAATTAGTAAAAAGAAATTTTTTTTTTCATGCCTAAAATACGAATTCTAACTAATTATCAAATATTGTAAAATAAAATAAAAAAACTCCCTATTTAAAAAGCTCAAATTTTAAAATGTCTTAAAAAAATTACATTTTTTAACTAAACTAAGAATCCTTTATTAAAAAGGCCCAAATTTTTTTAAAAAAATAAAATAATCATGTATATATATCAGGGTTGGCAAGTCGGTCAATTGACCAGTCAAATTCAGTCAATTGACTGGTCAATTGACCCTAGAAGTATTTGACCTGTCAAATACGGTCAAATACTCTAAAAAATTTAAATGAAAAATAAATTAAAAATATGTTTAAAAAAGGGGAAAACGATGTAAATACATGTGATCACAATGTTTGCTTATTTTTTGTGTCCACAATATCAAGAGGAAAACTCACAAGTATGTGATATAATTCAAGAATTAGCTATTTTACAAGGTAGTGATGACCAAAATATTTTAAGTGATATAATTAATTTCAGAAGCAAAAACAGCATGTTTAATATAGCAAATTATGTGGAAAGTAACCAGAAACTAGTTAATAGATTAAACTTTGTCCACCCTGCCCATTAAGAGACTAACAATTCCTAGTTCTACTTCTCCTTTAGAAAGAAATAGGTCGATTTGGGTTAATATTCTTATGAAAATAGAAATCGATTGAAGATCTAAGACATCAGGAAAATTGATTAAAAAATATTAAAGAAAATGATAATATTGAATATGAATCAGAACAAAACTCTGCTACAGAGAGCTACATGTTAGTTATTGAATGACAATGAATTTAAAAAATTAATATTATAGATTCATTTTACTATTATATTCAAAATAAAGTTAATATTAACTTAAAAAAACATATATTTGAATTTGACCTGTCAAATATCGGTCAATTGACCGAAACGTATTTGACCGGTCAAATGCACAACCCTGATATATATATAACTCCTTAAGAGGATTCAGAAAATGTTAATATTCTTATTTTTTTTAAAAAAATTAAATATTGAAAAAATTAAATTGACTAAACTAAGAATCATCTATTAAAAATTCTCAAATTTTAATAATAATAATAGAATCATGTATGACTCCTCGAGAGAATTCAGAAAATGATTTATATTAATATATTTTTTAAATATCAAAAAAATTAATTCTTTTTCACTAATGGGTCATTCCATGCCGACCCCTTTTAAAATTGTTAAAAATTTCTGCAATTATTTAGATAGGTAAAAGAATGTGAAAGCCGTTTATTTTAGCTCGCTAGCACACCTGATTCTCGAGATATAGGGGCTCAAAGGTACAAAAAAGAGCCACTTTGGAATCTGTAAAATTTTTAAAATGCTTATATCTCAAAAACTATTTATAGTAAAAAAAATTATAATATATCATTTTGTTGGTAAAGAAATTCTTGGGCTAACAAAGAATAATAAATATAGGCTTTTACCATCCGGTTTACCTAAATTGCTTTACCTGTATTTTTAAGCAAAATAGTGAGTTTGTTTTCAAATTTTTTTATTTGCTTTTTATTTAGACACCTTTTATAAATATATACGATGTCAAAACCTTGGCGACACTATCGATTTTTCCGAAATATACATTTCCAAAAATTGAAGAAAAAAGTAGATGGCGCTAATGGTTGAAAAATATTATTCTTAAGGAAAATGAAAATATTGATACGTTTATAAGAATTGTGATAAAATTTTCCAGTTCTGCCCCCCCCCTCCCACTATCCTTAAAATGTTTTACATTTTTTAGATTCTACTTTGCTACTATAGAGCGAATGACTTATTAGCTCGATATAACATAACTGCTGCAGTAAAAACGAATATTTTATTAGGCATATATTCGATTATATTTTACAAAATAAATTGTTTAAAACGATCTCTCTTTCTGCGAAATAATTTTAATCTGTCCATTCAGATTAATTTTATCGTCTGTCTACCAATAACAATCTGGATTTGGAGAGTGCAAAAACATGTATTCTAAGTGTAGATCAATTAAAATTTTATTCTATGGACGTACCAAATGTTAAAATGTTGCAACCCATTTAATCTACAGAGACATGCTTATTATCGCGAGAATCTAAGAAAGATGCTACTCTGGATGACCCAAAAAAATTACCATTCAATTTAGATATGTTAATATGCTCTTCATGGCGACAAAAATTAGCAAACATTCCTTATACTTTAAATGACAATGTAGATATTGATTTTCCCCTTCATATAATTAATCAAGAGGCTATTGATAACATTAATGTATCCCTACAATCAAATGGGGAATCTCTCATTAAAAGAAAACGCTTATGTGAAAAGAAATATTCGAAGAAAAAAATATCTAGAGTAAAAAAAAGTTTTAACGACTAAAATTATACCATTATCTTCATCAAATGATGAAAATTGGAAATTTGTTACATTATTAAGTGTCTAATGGGCATATGCCCACTCTGCTCCTCGGTAAATTAGTATATTTAATAGAAAATCAAAATTTTTTAGTATAAAAAGTGAAAATATCCTTGTTATTGATAAGTTAGCACTAAATTTTAAGCATAATCCGTAATTTCATAAACCATCTATTTGTTTATCAATTTTTGGAGTCAATAGCGTCGCCAAGGTTTTGATATTGTATATATATTTAGCAAAGGTGTCTAAATAAAAAGCAAAAAAAAAAATCGAAAACAAACTCACTATTTTGCTTAAAAATACAGGTAAAGCAATTTTGATAAACCGGATGTTAAAAGCCTATAATGGCTCCAATATTTAATATTCTTTGTTAGCCCATTAGATAATTTCTTTACCTACAAAATGATATATTATAAAAAATTTTACTATAAATAGTTTTTAGATATAAGCATTTTAAAAATTTTACAGATTCCAAAATGGCTCTTTTTTTGTACCTTTGAGCTCCTATATCTCGAAAACCAGGTGTGCTAGCGAGCTAAAATAAAAGTCTTTCTCACTCTTTTACCTATCTAAATAATTCCAGAAATTTTTAACAATTTTAAAAGGGGTCGGCCGAATCGTGATCGATTTGATGTGGAATGGCCCTAAACTAAAAATCCCTAAGAATCCCCTAAAATTTTAGAATCATTAAAAACTCTTCAAGAGGATTTAGTAAATGTGAGTATTTGTATTTTTTAAAAAAAAATTTAGTTGAAGAGTTGTATAACTCTATATTTATTTTTTTCAATAAGAGCCCTTTTAATGATTCTTAGTTTAGTCTAAAGAGGATTCAGAAAATGTTAATATCCATTTCAAAAAAAATTTAAATACCAAAAAATTAATTTTTTTGACTAAACAAAGAATCCCCAATTAGAAGCCTTTAATAAAATTATTCGCTTATCGTAAATTTGATTCACAAAATTTTAAATAAAAACTAGTAAATTAGTAAGAATAAATGTAAAATAAGATTTTTTTCGTTACTAATATAATTATTATAGAATCGTATTTATCTTCAATATAATTTACAAAATTATATTTTTAATTTTTCTTTAAAAAAACTTGTAAATTAGTAAAATATTGAAAAATCACTGTTTATGGGCATTTTAAATCACGCTTAAAAGATTTCCAACTCAAAGAAATTTAATCATAACCTGTTATTTTGACTAGTTATTAATAAAAATGATTAAATTCTATTAAAAACCCATATTTCAAATCTTTAATTAACCCTAACCCATATCTTTCTGATTTTGTCCTACTGACTTAAAATATGCAAGCAAATTATCATAAATCGAAACAATCGTTTATTTATTGGTAGAAAATAAACATGAATTAAACTATCTTTAACATGTTAAGATTAGCCAGAAAATGCGAAAGCAACATAAGAATATTTTAGAAAAATCAAAGAGAATTTGAGACAAATAATATATACGAAATATCGCTTAGATATCTTGATTGATTTTTTAGTGGAATTATGTTATATTGAGTAAGGGTCAGGTTCAGGAGCCATTATTATCTAGGGTACGTAAAAATTCGCCTGATAGATCATAAGTCCATTTAAAGCATTTCAATTTGGGATCTTCTTCAGATTTCACGATTATGAGAAAAATGTAATAAAATAATTTTTAAAATGACCTTGAAACGTGAAAATCGGCTAACAAATTGCAAAGGCTCTCTGACTGGAGCAAAAAACCGTGTATACTCTTACATCATCCAGCTCCTAATAATCTCTCATGATAGAAAAAAATATAATTGTTTTGTTATATAAGTTTAAAAATTTGAAAATTCCGGGCATGCCACTAAAATATTTTGCACATATTCCCAAGTCCTAAATGTTAGAGTTTCTGGCTAGGACATGCTGATCTCTAATATTTATAACTAAAATTTGTAATGTAAGGGAAAGAAATTAAGTACGAAAGAAAATGTAAGCACATGATCCTTTTTTAAGAGATTGTCGCCTGAGAATTATATTATTCTCTACTCTTTACCGGAGAACAATTTTAAAAGTTCGTTTTTGAATATTAGAAATGCTTTCCTGATTTATTATTTTTTAATTTAAGGTTGTGTATATTTAATAGTGCCTCATAATTTAATTATATAAATTATTATATTTCTCATTTTATTCTAAAACTGGAGATAGAATAAATACCAAATTTTATTTTTATTATTATAAAGAATATTATTCTATCTCCAAACAATTTCTCTATAATCCAAAAATATTATTGAATAATAAATACTAATGTAAACAAGACAATAGACTAAAATTTTATTTAAAAAATTTTAATATAATTTTTTAATGGAATTGATAAAAATTAATGTAATATTATTTTTCTTAAAATAATAATAA